AAATATGACTCATTTACGTCTATTAAGTTTCATTTTAATGTACACTAATAAGAAACCTATTTTGTGCGTGTGCTTGTTACTTTGAAATGATTAAAAAGAATGAAAAATGAGTATCACACGAACATAAGAATACAATGTCGGATTTTGTAACCGTTTAAATCTTATTACGCCTCGGAACACCAGAGCGGAATTCTCATCAGATAGTTTTTGTTCTGTACTGTACCAGCTATTTTTGAATTCCAAAAAATGACTTTATGGCATCCATAATCCACGAAGCCAGCCCTCGGCAAGCTTTGAACGAATCACGAGATGAACGTGAGTGGTTGCCCTCTCTGTGACCTGACGTGGTGGGTGTCATCCGCTGCGATTCTTAGTTAGATTTTTACTTTATTTTTGACTGCATGATTTCTAGATTTATCCAAATGGACCAAATGGAGCCCTTTCCTTTCCCTTTCCAAATGGAAGATTCCTTTTAGTGCGAGACCCAAACAAATCTATTCAACCCATAGAGACACTTCCGTAAAACTCCAGGAAAGCAGGTCAACCATGTAGTTTCATATTACGACTATTATGGTTGATTCAATCCTAGATACCGCTTAGGGGGATTATTCGACAATATGTTACAATGAGCAATGGGATTTGAGTTACTTCGATAAATATGTCCAATCCTAACGAAAATGAGGTGTTTGTAATTCGAACTGTGTCATTTAATCCCAAGAAATCGAACTTCGTGATAATTATAATTTTTTGGCTTGGCCCACGGATTTCCAGTCATCATGAGAGTCTACTAAATAAATATAATTATTGTAATTTGTATATATTATATTACCTATATCAGATTAAAATAACAATCCCTTATAGATTTATCACCCTTACGGTTCGCCTGAAAGTGGAATTCGAGTATAATTTAACGGTATCACTGGAGTACAGGAATGTACAAGTTTTTTACATAATATTTTACACAATCTATCCATCTATATATTAATAGGCAAGCATTTTTCTTTTAAACCTTTTTTCTCAGCTCGTGTACATCGCAGGGAAAGTCTACGCATGTTAGATAGGTATTTTCCTGTAGATGTGCAGAATCCCTTTAAAAATTAAAATAGGCTCAAAAATATAGGCACAAAAAATTAATTTGAAATTTTAAAAAATTAACATGGTTTTTATGGGTTGCCAGGCTGGTGACGGAATAACAACGAAATATAAACAGAAAATCAAAACAAATTACAAGAAATTACAATCACATGTTTTATTTACAGCGTGGGATGAAAATAGAGAAGCCTGCACCTTTACATTCCATCCCCATGTTAAAGTTGTCACACGTTTTTTAATTAAATTTGTCGTAGTTGATGTGAGCCACCACCAGACTGCGCTTACCTAAATGACTGTCGAATAAATGAAGTTTTTTTTACCAAGTAAAACTTTTTGGATGAGCTATAGCAACTGTTATGACCCATCAACTTTATCAGCAACAAAAAATAAGGTGGAAAATCGAATTTAAGACACGCTTTCGGTGAATAGCTCACACAGCTACAATTTAAAAAATTGTGACAGCTGGCCCATTTAGATGGGATGTCTACTTCAGCATCCAATAGCCAATACGTGTACATTGCATGTTTTTGGTCGAGTTTTTGACCACTGGACGACCACTAGTTTAAAATGATTACGTTATAAAGTATCCACTGCTCTTCCTCAATAGTCATTAGAAAAATCCACACCAATTAGTTTATTCTTTACTTAGACAGAAATGTGCTTGACATCACATTAAAAACTTAGAAAGATTACATTAAAATATAAGGTTCGGTTTTTCATACGTAAGAAATTAACTTGTTGTATTAAAATACAATAATACTACTTGGAAAATGTAATGGAGCATTTGAATTTGTAACGAAATATATGATTGCATAGTTAACTTTTCAGTTTATAAACCAAACTCAATAAATCTAGGACCAAACAAAACACACATATGCTTCATATTGGGAGTTTACCAAACATCAATCAAGCTTATTGGTCATATATTATCTGACAGTCAAATACACACATACTCACATATCTCTCTGGTAAAATAAGCGATTTACGAATGGATGCTTCATTTTAATACTGCTTAGTCGAAAATGCCTTCTTTACCACTTGTAATTACACAATATTTTATAAAGAATCAATTAACTTTTCTTTGTTTCTGATTGTTAAAATTTATTTTTAAAGAGTTTAGTTTAAAATTTTCCCTCAGGTGTTTATGTTTAGTTTAGATCAATAATTATTATTTTATTTTAATTCTATATGCTGTAGACTATTATTATTCATTTGTAATCAAAACGCATTACATATACATACAATTCCTATTAGAACGATAACACGTTTAAAGTGTAATCTGTTTCAACGTAAGTAAGTAAGTAAGAGCACACAAAAAACGTACAACTTCAGTACACCCCCTACAGCAAAACTGCGGACAAAATGGATTTCCTCTCAAATATTTCGTTAAACGTGTCAGATCTATTCTTTATTTAAATAACATTAGGCTTAACGAGTTTTTAGGTTATCCGCTACATAAGAGTTAGATTTTTTCATAGCAAAAGCTTATAATGATATAAATCAAGTGTACTAACATATAAACATTAAAATTACAAAAGTCTACTCATTCTCCATATGAATAACATGGCGATTTTCAATTCCCAGATTCTCGGAATTTCCTTCGTAACCATTAAGCTTTTACCAAAAATGATTTACTTTACTAAATTAAGACACAGGATATTCGCTGGACCTGCGATCTAATTCTTGCTACCACTTTATTCCAGTTTGATAGGAAATATCGTGGTAATTTTGTAGTAGCTTAATCTTATAGCTACTCTTTTATAAGATTAAGAAATTATATACTATGAGTACATTTGCTGTAGGTATCAATTTATTAGCGTACTACCTTTTTGTTGTATATAAGATAAAATTGGTCCTATATTAGCCATTTTATTTTAGATGTTTTAAATTCCTTGAATAAATCAACTATTTAATGGTTTGACATTGACCTTGTGACCTCGTAATAAGAATCACAATGGTAACAAATTTATTATAAAACATTACCTCAATACGATACTTTGTTTCATATAACTACTGACCAAATAACTTTAGAAGTTCTATGGTTATAAATTTAGGAAATACCACCACGTTCTCGCCAATTGAAATAAATTCTCGTCGTAAATTTAGAGTCCCATTGTCCAGTCAGATGGCAGAGCCGCATAACTCACAGGCAGATGGTTTCCTTAACCATCAAACAAGTACAAGGGTTTCCATGAGCTTTCAACAGAATTTATCTGCGTTTTACGTCCCTCTTAGTACCATCTATTCCTACAGATTTCATAAGGCTGGCATTTCTCTGATAAAAGACATTGTTGAAAGTATTATATCACTTAGGGGGAAATATTTTTTCCTCTTCTTGTGTTATCGAGCTTGGGTCCAATTTAAGTTTGATAAACTGCCTTGATATTCGTAAATCAAAATAATTAATTTCATACCTATTGGATTTTATTTAGTTTCCCGAATCTCTGATGATATATTCTACATAAATAATACATATGGTTAAGGTGTAAACAACTATAGACCAATATAATATAATACTGTGGCAAATCATAGTTTATTTGAGGCACAACGAAGATCAATAGAACGATGAAACATACAAAAACGTATTGGTTTCATATACCATTTACAGTCTTTAAGTTTTACTGACCGAATTCGTAACCTTTTAAACAGAGGTAGTTTCTTGACTGAGTATTCCAGTGAACACAGCTCATCTTCAAATCTCAAGGTTGTTCGTCCAATCCCGAGTGGGATCAATTCTATACCAAGGGGATTCTTTTATTAGGCCCTTAATTAATAATGCAATCTAACAAAAAGCCAATGTTAGAAAGTAAAGGTAGAATGGACAATTAATTGCCTTACGAAGATGGATAAATGTCATTGGTGTAAAACACACACATAAAATGAAGAGGAATGCATCAGCCTACACATTTTACAACCGTACTATTTAATAATCAAATGACCATCACAGTTTAAGCTTGACATTAATTACTTGAAAAATAACATAGTGTGATATTATGGAATATTGCAGATACCATTACTAGAGCTAGGGATTAAATAACATTTGTAAGCTCTAGCGAAGTTACCTGAATTTTATCGATGGCAAAAAGAAAAGTGAATCCAACTACCCGAGAGACAAAAGGTTATTAGAAAACACCGCACGGAAACCAGTTTCCACGGTATTAAATCCCAATCAGCGGAATAATAACGGAATGACAAATGTGAGCATTTCAGCCGTAAGAGAACGTGCTTGCGTTACAAACATCAACTCTTTTATTTCTTTCTACCTTAAATTTAATTTTTCCTTCTTTCGGAAACGGTAGAGTCCAATTTATAATGCTCTACGTTTTTATATTTTATCTGACGAGTTTTATATGATATAAAGTTACTGCATTTAGTACGAATACTGTGAACTGCTATACGCTGAGTTGGATGATGTAGAACTTGGTAGACATCACTATTGAAAAAATATCATATTTATAGGTATATTTCCTGCTAAGTGGGCAACTCATTAAAGAAGAAGACAAAAAATAAAAGAGTGCCTGACAATTCCATGGACGATCAAGATGACAATGTATAAAAAACAAGTAAACAAAAAAAAAACAAAAAACAAAACATTAACTGTATTACTAACCATCTCAATAATATATTATTTAGTTTAAACTATAATAATGATATGGTATGCAGAGGGGTTGAAGAGATATTGCGTGAATCATATAAGCGTGTGTAAGCGTGACCGTGCGTTTAGTCTGTTGCGCGCGAGTCCCTTAATACAAAATCTGAGTCCTAGGACCAGTGTCCAATCAATATACTGTAATGCATTGCCTTAAATAGGAAAGTGAAAAGTCTTTCTAATTGTTGTTAAGTGAATGAATATTTAATTTCATTTACAAAAGGAAAAAATAAGGGGTCTATATTTTTGCCTTTTTCAGGAGAGGTGACACGGCGTAGTTCTTAAAGTCGTCCTAAGAAGGGCCTCGGATGACATTAACTCACTCTAAGTGGGAATTACATAAAAACCAAAGGTAAGTTCAATACTGCATTAAATTCTATCATAGATAAAAGGAGTATAGCCTTAGATTGTATAATTATCTTCAGCTTTTATGATCCTCTTCAGATGTAGTGGGTTTTAATAGATTATTTATCGAAAGAAAATTACTTGATCTCTATGGAAAGCAAAACTTATGTAACCGAAACGTATACTAGTTTGCCAAAGATTTCACTCACATTTTTATAAGTAACGCTAATCTAAACTGCTCTTTCTATACAATAAATTGTATATTTTAGCCATTGCAGTGATTAAAACCTATATTTAATTCTAATCTTTAAATTACGTATTTTTTTACCTGATATGCAACATATTGTAATTCAGACGTGATATAATAATAAATATGGTAAATTGTCAAGTACTTCAACATTATGTTAAACATCATATGCACACAGTTATTATCCAGGAAAAAGAAAAGAAACGAGCATTGTGTAGAGTTAAAAGCAAGGAGTGTACTAATTAATACGCACTTCACCTCTCTAACCTTCCCTTAATTACAATGGGACATAAAGGGAACATTTGCGTTTGTACCTCCGTCGTTTCTCTGATGTACCCTTCTAACTTCAGTAGATTCGATTGTATCTCTGTGTCTTCATACAGGCATTAGTAGAGAGCCTACGGATGATTTCATTGTGAGATTTTTACGTATTTTCAATGTTCAAAGATAGTGTTACAGTGATAAAATGTCTAAACTAGAGGTGTGAGCTGTTTCATGCGTCATAGTTTTCATATTTTACTACTACAAGAACCAAATATTGTAAAGTTACGTCTGCGACAAAGATCACCACCCTCGTTACATACTGGTGTTTGAAATCCTTTGCATTGTTAAGCACTGCCAAAAGGTTTTATAATGTTTAGAAATTTAAGTCAATTTCAAAATCTTTAGCTCAATATTTGATTTTGTTTTCTAAAACATTAATTAGATATTCGGTTAATTCTTATAGGTGAATGGAAAGTAAAGCCCAAAAGTTTGGGTAAAACTGAATTTAATCAGTTTGGTTACGATGGAGTGTCACACAACACTTATAACATTTAATAGAAGATAAGATAACATTCCTAGATTTAAAAAAAGTTATTGGAATCCTTAGTATGAATTCGACGAAATATATAATGAGGCGCTAAGATAACTTATTATTAAGAAAGTATTTGCGAATTCCGCTAAATTCCGGACCTTTATCTGAAGAGTAATAAAGTTTGTTAGAGAATTTCAAGACGTTCAGTCTTGGAACACTTTACTGTAAATCGCCCTTTGTTCCTTTCACTAATGGTATCTTTTATCGCTGCCGTTGGATTTGTTTATGATCCTGCCTCATTGTTTCATCCTCAGGAGCAAATTACTTCCCGGCTTTTCAGTCACCAATCGATTATTAACTAGGATTTTAAACTGGGAATTATTAACCAGGGATGTTTACTTAGTTACTTAAAATGCTGTATGAGTTTCACTATTCAATTATCCGAGCTTCGCTATTCCTCCCTACAGATTATCAAATACCAATAGATCGCAAATCATGTGAGGTATGAGTAACATTATTCCAGTATGTCAAAGATTTTTTTTTCAAACAAGCCATTTTTCACCTTTTTTGAAAGACAACGTTCTTTTTTAGCTCGTTTGTATTGGGAAGATATTTCTTACCATGGGACTCAAGCACTATTCTTTACTACTTTTATCCCCGCCTTAACAGAAACCTTTTTGGTTGGCAGTTTTTTTTAAATCTTGCATTTCCCGTTCACATTTATGTCTTGCAAGTTGGTCGGATGCGTCTAGCAAAGAGTAACCTTTTACTTTGTATTGATAAAACTTTCTGGTGGATAAAAGGACACGAACCCACTTCATCACTGCCATTGATTGGTAGTCTATTGAATCACTGATTTTACACTGACATACCTCAAACACTCTCCGAGTTGTCAGTATGAACCCAATTCTTATATCTAACTAATGCACTAATTGGTAAATGCTTGGATATATATATTATGTATATATTTTGCCAACTGACGTTATATTACTAAGGCTGCATGTTTAAGAACATTGCAGTTGAAACCCTTATAATTTAATAGGCCTAATTTGTAAAATTTATAAAATTGATTAATTGGTTTGAAACTTACATCCTAAGTAATACTTATTTGTAAGAAGTGGAAACTATTTTAAATAGTCAATTTAAATTATTTTTTTTATTACAATTTAAATTACAAACGGTCAAATGTATGCAAAAAATAAAATCATAAATGTACGAGTTAAAACATTTAACTCTAATATATCCTAAATGGTCCATTAATAACAATAACCAATGTAGTCAGATAAAGTGAGAGGCAGTTATATACATATTTATCGATTTCATGTATCATTAAATAATTTGTTAAATACTCTTAAGCTATATAAACCACAAATTTGTATCTAGAATCTAAAGTTGAACAACCTCAGGCCTATATCAGGCGGATTCCTAACCTATTAATTGGAATTCTTGAAAATTGCTTCAACACTCTATATAATACTAGATGTTCATAAAACATTGTTTTATAAATTAATATTACTACTTGAGAAAGTACCTTTCAAAATTATTATTCAGCAGCTGTTAACATATACATTTGTATTATTTTTTATATTTTTGCTTACAGTATTACGTTTAATATATTTCCATTTCCTCTCCTAGGTGTACTGCACTGTGTACCTACAACCTCCTTATTGTTAGTCTATCCATGCTCTCGGGCACTGTTTGGTCTGGTGACCGTTTAGTGATCAGTATGTAAATTGACATGCACAATGTCAACATACGCTATTGATCCTGTCCGCCTAATCCATTACCTTGTCTACGGGGGGCACAATTGTCAACAAACTGTATAATCAACATAGATGGATATTGTTGTAATTTATCAAAGTAAACTGTAATATTTAAAGGAACATTTTGTTTTGCATCACCTGTTTGAGAACCTTTGCAAAACCAAAACAAGTAAACATTTATGCCTCAAAAAATATTTTTAAATGAAGGCAACTGTATTAAAACTAAACAAAATGGTAGTTATGGTAAACTATAATATAAAAATTGTATCGAAATTTTTTACTTTTTAGGTTATACGGATTTATGAGGCTATAAACTAATTTCCCTTACAGGTACTTAAAAATCATGTACTCAATCGTGTAGACTTAGTATAGGGTTAGTTGATTACACACTGAATGTTCCATATATGTGTTCTTAACATTTTGTCAGGAAATAATGCATTATTAGATGTATGTTAAAGATGTATGTTAAAGGTAAAAAGAATGAATTGTAGTTAAGTAAAATTTTCCCTGATAGTTGCAATCATAGATTATTAGTATGTTTTACTAAAAGAGTTTCTTCATATGGATGTAGATTTCTTTGTATTTATAAAAACTAAGTGAACCAAAAGTCTGTCAACCAATTAAAGCCCAACATCGACTAACTTTACTATTGGAGGAACGGTGCCCGGATGGAACTTTTGACATGTGACGGTTGCAAATATTTGAGTCAGTGAGGAAACCAGCGTTTCTTTAGTGGATAGAAACATTGAGGCAATATTAATATTTTGTGAACATTTTTAATACAATTATGGGATGTATGTCAATGAAATATTCCACAACCTTTCCTTTATGTATTTTTAGTATTTTAATATCTCATTATGAAAAAATAACAACGAACATTATCATAGTTAGTTGACTTGAGTTTACTACTAATAAACACGTGGAATATGCCTATAAAAGAGTGGACTACACCTGCCACTCGACGTTTTTCATAATTATTTTTTTACTTGCTTGACGATAGAAATGTTAATTTTTTTTAGAAAGTAATTTCTTTATTAATCTGAGAGAGTAGTAAACAATATTTTTCAAAACATTATGTCAATAAGTCAAAATTCAACGTTTAAGACCGATTTGAGAGTTATAAAAGTTTTACAATTATCAACAGGATCATTTTCTGTACGCAATTTAATTATTCATTTAGTCAAATAGTACTGCATTTATAACTAACAGCTTAACAAATTTACAGGTTATACATGTTCTGTAAGAAATGGCTTACATATAAATTATACTCATTCTATGAAACCAATTAAAGGCAGCCTCCATTAATCGGGATAGAAGAATACAGTGGTTACTTTAGTAATCACAAAGTGTAAATTAACAAGAAAGTTTATAGTAGTTAATGTACCATTTTTAACGTGGAAAATAGTTTCACTACTGTGTTCGTTTACAAAAACCAAACCGTTGTGAAAATCTTTCAGCGCCCAACATGATAGTGGCATGTTAACACATATTATACTTGAAGTTTGCACGATTTGTTGTACAAAGGGTTGGTGTCGCGTGAAAACCACACAGTTGTGCTGACAATGTTTACATTGTCACTTTGTGTACCAAAGACACCATTATAGGACATAGTGTGGTTTAAAAGCCACTACACCGTAACATGGCCACTTACGAGCTAGTGTGTTTAAACCTACTTGAACTACCATTGCCTTTGTTCTCTTTAAATATAATTACAAAACAGTTGTTTTACCTATTTTTATGTAGCTTGGTAAAATATATACTTAAAGTGATATTCTGAACTTACTTACAATTTTACTTAGGTAAATAATTTATGAATCGAGTTTGTTCTCAAACACCTTTAAGAATAACAGATTGTTAAAGTTTTATTGAATTATATAAGCACTTTTTAATGTGTAAATACCCGCTGAAGCAGACTTGCCTACTGATCAAGTTCTACCTGCTCGATTATTTGTTTCTTTAGGCAAATATTAAGCAATTTCACATTTAGATGCATAATGGCATAGACTAACTGAGTACGTATAAACTATAATAGTGGGTAAAAATCTTATTTACTCAATCAGTACCTATTTGGTCTGCATGATACATTTAATTTTATTGGCGATCTTACTAAAAGAAGAAAGCCAAATTTTATCAGTCTATAAAATAGTTTATAGAAATTAGTTTCCTACATACATGAATATTTCATTTGTACATTATCATGT